AGATTGTATCTGTAAGATTCAGCTTGGATAGATTGAGCCAGATAAAATATAGAGGCATACAGTGAAAAATGATCTCACCAGTGGCGTGTATGGGCCACCGTAAGAGTACAGTACACTACACATTATCATTATTTTCCAGGACCCTCATATTTCCTGTAAGTTTTGTAAGTCAAAGTCAAGCCCTGGCTGATCAAGTCACACAGAAGTGTACTTGAGACTTGTCAGTGAAAACTCAGTAAGTACTGTTCAATTCACAGGAGCTGTTGAAAGACAGGAATATCCTGATAGAGATACGTATTGACGCCATGCAGCAATAACAGGAACATAACCTTCCCCTCACACGTAGTGACAACCTACATTGCTTCCTTGTTTCTGGTAATTCATAACTAGGCCACATCCTATATTAACTCCAACACAGGACATACAGACTGCAGCATCTACCGGGGGAACATTATCATAATGCTGGTGGCAAATTCTCAGCAACATGATCAATGGAGTTTCTATTGTTTCAGCACAAATGTTTTGTTGCCAACATTTTTAAGTCACATTATCCCCCTGAGACAATACACATAATAAACATGATAAACAGGAATAGTTTCATGATGAATCACTAGATTGATACTTCTTTTATATAAAATGTGTGGAATAAATCTCATATCACCCTGTGCATTAGTCTGTCTCAGTCCCATCTTCCCAAGGCAAGAGAGTTAACTGACTTTAAAAGTCCAGTTTCCACCCTTGCTGAACTAGGCTGGCTATTACAGGTTATGTCCCTTCTATGCCTCTCCTATGAACCAATCAGATTCCACCTCTCGTATCACTTGCATTTGCTTCAAACAAAATGGCAGCGCCCTGACAAGAGATGATCTGATCCACAATCATGATCTGTATATTGATAAAAGGGGTCTTACATCACGAAGTGCATCAAATCATGTGAGCACCTTGATTAAACACTTGAAAACAAAATGGGAAAATATCTGTTGACAACGAGTTCGCGGTGCACATGCTTTGCAAATCCTGCAATCGACCAAACTCTGCATGACAGTTAACAAACCGGATTTCGATTTCGGTGCGCGATTTTGATTGGACTATGCATAGACTCGTTAGTCCAGCCAAAATGTAACTCCATAATACCAGCCTAGTTCGGCAAGGGTGGTACTGGACTTTTATAGTCAGTTAACTCTCTTGCCTCGGGAAGATGTCTCAGTCTCTGAACCATGTTATTTTTTCCCCTTCCACCAAGACCTTACTGTAATGCTATAACCTTTAATGAAGAAAGTCTAGATTTGCCAGTCTCTCTTCTCACTGGAAGTCTTTTACAATTAAAATGTAGTTGCTTGTTTTTATCAAAATTCTATGTTGGATATGGGTTCCACGGGACTGCTGTTCCCCTGGTTGCCCCCGGGGGCTAACAGCTGAGTCAGTTGATAGACAGGAAGTGATGCATCTTTGTCATAAACATCTCACAACCTTAGAACATTGGCAAGTAGAAGCACTTCAATATAAACAGCCAAGTGTTCTGGTTTTTATGGTACTCACAAGTTGACAAGACGTCTAGGGGGAGGTAGTGGAAAGAAGAGAAGAATCATGTCACTTGATGTTTTTGTTTTCACATTACATGTCAGTATCGTTACATGGCTGCAAGGTCAATATCAGGCTCATATACAGGGCCCTTCATTGCATGGAGTCTGGCAACATTACACTGACCACCATCAGTCATGGAGGAACAGCCGCCTTCCATGTAGGGGACAGATCTGGTCTCATGACAGACTACATGACAGGGCCTGGGGGCAGTCCCTGGAGGGGAGGAGGAGGAGTCTTGCAACATCACACTGAGAGTTGGAGTGAGTACACAGCAGTTTATGAACCGGATGTCAATTTTGTTACGCGGTTTGATTGGACTATGCATAGACTTGTTAGTCCAGCCAAAATATATCTGCATAATTCCAGCCCAGTTAGAAACTGGACTTTTACAGTCAGTTAACTCCCTTGCCTCAAGAAGATGGTACACAAGGTACTTTTGTGGGGCACTGAAGTATGCACTAGAGAATAATGTTTTAAAAACCATTAGATATGTTAGATTTTCCCTACCAAGTTGCTGTTGCTCTTGATGGGTTGGCATTTAAAGCAATATTCTGAACAGTAGAGCAGTTTGGGATATCCTAGTTGAGAGTGAGTGAGTGAGTGAGTGAGTGAGTGAGTGAGTGAGGTTTAACACCATTGGATTGGATTGGGACATTTTCTCTAAACTTTTCCCCTCATCAACTGAAGGAATAGAAATGATATTATTGAATGAAGACGTGTGGTTACTGGCATCATAATACATTGGCAAGGGCTGTGAACACAGACATCAAACTTACTGAACAAAGAGAGAGGAAAGGATGGCAACTCTGACAACATATAATCAATTTATTGTGACCTGAATATATTTAAGTTCTTTGTGGTGGGCCAGATTGTGTGTGTGTATCTTTGCTCATCCGTAACAAACTTATTCAACTTGAAGATGGTTTTTATCATGTAAATAAATTTCAAGTCATTCAGTGGCATTTAACTGACCAACCAAGCAATTGTTTTGTGGAAAACAAGTTAGACCACGCCCACTAGTGGATTACTGTTTTCTGATTGGCTAATAGGGGGTGGGTGGGGTGTTGGGGTTGCATTATTGCACTGAACATTAGAATGAAGTCACTGATTAATTACCATTGGCTACATTTTCTTGTGTTATCAATTAAATAAGCAGTCTTTTAATCTCTTATTCTTGACTGTATTTGTCACTTCAAAACATAAGTAGCGGACTTACAGTGAGTGTGCACACCGTTTCTTATGATCATACCACCATAAACGGAAAAATATTGAAGTCAATTCATAATTAAAGCAAAGCAAAAGTAAATAACGGACATAAACCTTCAGAAAAAAATGCCAGTGTCAAATTCAGATCTTGTATCACTTAGGGAAAATCAAATCTCTATCCTACCCTTATGCCCGACAATTGAGTGAGCGAGCGAGTGACTGTATTTGTGTGTAAGTGAGTGAGTATAGTTTTACACTATCTAGCAGGTGTTTACCATGATCAGATAAACTTTAGGTATTGAGGCTACACTTAGCTGATGATAATAAAATTATACATTTAGTTGTTCTGATTACATAAAACGTCAATAAGGACAAAATATTATAATCAACATGCATTTTTAAAAAAATTAAGGTTTAATAAAAATGAGTAAAAAGTTGTCTTTGAAAAAAAGTGTCAATAAAAATCTAAACTGGTAGGGTTAATTAACATCTAAATTAGTTGACAATAACATCTTTATTTAAACAAAATAAAAGTATAACATTTAAAAACTAGGTCCCAGTTAGTCAGCAGGATAAATAAATTGAGCATGTGTATATGCTTGACATGAGTTTGTTGTCACATTACAATTGGTATTGATGTACAGTCAAGTCTCGTTAATCTGACAATCAGCTTTATCTGACTCTAATGATGGGAACCGATGAAATCAGTGCTATTTAGGTCCGTTAATCCAACATGCTCGCACTCCGACTCCAACACACCTTATTTGCAACGAATTACAGAAATCACTCAATCACTAATCCGACACAGTGATCAGCGTACTCCGTGGTCATCTGTCCGCGAGTACACATCCTGTGTTTTGATGCGAGACGAATCGGCTGTTAGCAGCATATTACAACGGCTGCAGAGATAAACTTGCTTAACAATAAACAATTAATGGTTTAAATAAAGAAAACAGGAATAATCATATGCTTAGACTACCTCAATCTCATTAATATCAGATACAAGTTCTCACTATCGGCGAGGACATCCCATTACAGGTCACGTCAGAACAACCTTTTCGATCACAAACGTTGATACTACTTAATTTCGTTATCCGACATACTCGTTACTCCGACATAATCATATGCAACCATCGATGTCGGATTAACAGGACTTGACTGTATTGGATTATTGGGCTACCCTGATCAAGACAATGGCCCTGACATTCTATTGAAAAAGTCAGCAGTGTGTTGTGCTGTATTTGCTGGATCAATGACACTGGCATTGTGCAGGGTTATAATGTTAATTAGGACTCTTGAACAGGTAAGTTAAATCCTCTCGAGTCCCTGATTCAGTGATGAATAGCAAGTCGTCAGTCTCCAGGGGTAACAACTGGAGACTACTTCCAAAACCAATGTCTGAATAGAAGTAAATTAGTATATTAATTGTTTTCATCCAACGTAGATAAAAATATCATTTGACTCTTCTTCAGTATTGTTTGATAGGCATTACTTAGAAGTTGACGGATGACAAGGCAGACACAATTTTATGGATAACTTTAATACTGTAAAAAGCGACGTTTCGGTATAGATTCTTATACAGTTGTCAATCAAGACTGCTTGTATAAGGATCTATACCGAATCGTTTTACAGTATTAAAAAAGCTGTTATCCATAAAATTATGTCTACCTTGTCTTGTTCACTTAGCAAATAATAGATGTATTCGGTGACAAAATTGGTTGAGAGATTATGGTTCCTGTTGCATCAATATATTTCACCATACTTGTTTGGTTTATAGAATTGAAAATATGTTTCTATTAAATTCATAATTCTGTAAGGCTCTCATGTCCATAATTGAATGTAAAATTTTATAAATAACAAATGTTTATTTTTTTCGCTTTATTACCGCCAACTGTTTCAGATAGTTCATGAATAGTTTTTTTCTTCACGTGATGCATTTTGGAATCCCGTATTCATCCAACCACACCCCCATCCTCTTGTCAACAGAAAGCACATATCTATGGCGTCGTGAGCACGGTACGATCAACAGTATCGCACTGACACGTCAATTAATGAAATTTGCTTTCACCTCTAAATTAGTATCATCGGCGTGCACGGCTCCACAACGACGCAGCTGAACGGCCACAAATCAATCAAATGTATAACAAACGATCGATTTATCATCAAGGTGTGCAACCACCTGTCGTTAAGGTATTTCCAAACCGACTTACCATGGCCATCGCAATGTATGGGGTCAATCCTGTCAGCACCATCCAATATATCCCCGGTGAAATCTGGACTATCGGCAGTTTCGGGAATCGGTGACAAAACATCAAAGTCATCTTCTTCGTCAATGACACCCTCGACAACAGAAAAGGACCGAAGAAATTCAAAAGTAGTGTTCCTTGTCCCGGACGTATCGTCCGTGGCCATTGTATAAGTTTTCGCTGTCTAAGAGTCCCGTTTGATAACTTCCAGACGGGTCTCCGTTATATGCTGTCATTTAGATAATGTGTGCAACTTTGTTGACAACTGTACACGTCCGCCATTCGAATGCCCTCGTATGTAAATCACGTGACCTCGGCGACCGGATTTACCATATGACGCGCGACCTGTTTTGGGATTCCCCAGTTGTGGGACCCTCGGCTGAGTCGTGCGCCACACGCAGGTGATTACTTATATTACGTCATCTACGTACACATTGACAGCAAAATCATCGATAGGCTCTCCGTTATAAACTCTACAGCCCACGCCTCTACTCAAACATACTCGTTCTATTTGCCTGAGAAGTTGTAAAACAATCGTTACTTTATACGGCGTGACTTCGATCAGAAGCGGTTCGATCACATGTTATATGTCGCTGTAGAGCCCGCGAACTAAGCCTTGCGTTCATTATTTACAATAAACGTTAACATGTATCCACGTCAGTACATTACACCAGCATATCGTGAGTTGGCTCATTATATAGACGAAAACTGCCAAACGTCTGATTTTAATCGAGCAATCATGATTTTCGCAAGATGCGTATTTATAGTGCACGCGTAGTGAAAGTTATTTTGAGCTGTATCGTTTTAATGCTGATGTGGCCTTTCAATAACATTAAAGAAAAATATTGGTATGAACTATGGCGGTAAGTTGTCGCAAATAATTGAATTTCCCCGTCTATCACGTGTTAAGGGACATAACGCGAGTAATAATTTAAAGCGTCACAATACTTTTCTTGCGACAACGTACTTCACGTCAATATTTTTCTTTAATGTTAATGAATGGCCACGTCAGCAGCAAAACGATTGCATAGTCAATCACTAAACTTACATTGGTGCCTTCTTTCTCCTTATAGTTAATCACCCGTGAAAATCCGTGTTAGAATGTCTTCAGCAACCCATGCTTGTCGAAAAAGGTGGTCAGACTCACTGACTTGGTTGATGCTTGTCATCGTATCCCAGTTGCGTGAATCGATGCTCATGATGTCAATCACTGGATTGTCTGGTTCAGTCTCGAATATTTACAGACCATCGTTGTATAGCTGGAATATTGCTGAGTGCGCGTTAAACAACAAACAAATATAGTCAATCGCTAAACTTATATTAGGGCTTTCATTGCCCCTCATAGTCAATCACTAAACTATCATTGGGGCTTTCATTTTCCCACAAAGTCAACCGCTAAACATATATTGGGCCATCATTACCCCTCATAGTCAATCACTAAACTATCATTGGGGCTTTCATTACCCCTCATAGTCAATCACTAAACTATCATTGGGGCTTTCATTACCCCTCATAGTCAATCACTGAACTATCATTGGGGCTTTCATTACCCCTCATAGTCAATCACTAAACTATCATTGGGGCTTTCATTACCCCTCATAGTCAATCACTAAACTATCATTGGGGCTTTCATTGCCCCTCATAGCCAATCACTAAACTATCATTGGGGCTTTCATTGCCCCTCATAGCCAATCACTAAACTATCATTGGGGCTTTCATTACCCCTCATAGTCAATCACTAAACTATCATTGGGGCTTTCATTGCCCCTCATAGTCAATCACTAAACTATCATTGGGGCTTTCATTACCCCTCATAGTCAATCACTAAACTATCATTGGGGCTTTCATTGCCCCTCATAGTCAATCACTAAACTATCATTGGGGCTTTCATTGCCCCTCATAGTCAATCACTAAACTATCATTGGGGCTTTCATTACCCCTCATAGTCAATCACTAAACTATCATTGGGGCTTTCATTACCCCTCATAGTCAATCACTAAACTATCATTGGGGCTTTCATTACCCCTCATAGTCAATCACTGAACTATCATTGGGGCTTTCATTACCCCTCATAGTCAATCACTAAACTATCATTGGGGCTTTCATTACCCCTCATAGTCAATCACTAAACTATCATTGGGGCTTTCATTGCCCCTCATAGCCAATCACTAAACTATCATTGGGGCTTTCATTGCCCCTCATAGCCAATCACTAAACTATCATTGGGGCTTTCATTGCCCCTCATAGTCAATCACTAAACTATCATTGGGGCTTTCATTGCCCCTCATAGTCAATCACTAAACTATCATTGGGGCTTTCATTACCCCTCATAGTCAATCACTAAACTATCATTGGGGCTTTCATTGCCCCTCATAGTCAATCACTAAACTATCATTGGGGCTTTCATTGCCCCTCATAGTCAATCACTAAACTATCATTGGGGCTTTCATTACCCCTCATAGTCAATCACTAAACTATCATTGGGGCTTTCATTACCCCTCATAGTCAATCACTAAACTGATATTGGGGCCTCATTGCCCCTCATAGTCAATCACTAAACTATCATTGGGGCTTTCATTGCCCCTCATAGTCAATCACTAAACTATCATTGGGGCTTTCATTACCCCTCATAGTCAATCACTAAACTATCATTGGGGCTTTCATTACCCCTCATAGTCAATCACTAAACTGATATTGGGGCCTCATTGCCCCTCATAGTCAATCACTAAACTATCATTGGGGCTTTCATTGCCCCTCATAGTCAATCACTAAACTATCATTGGGGCTTTCATTACCCCTCATAGTCAATCACTAAACTATCATTGGGGCTTTCATTGCCCCTCATAGTCAATCACTAAACTGATATTGGGGCCTCATTGCCCCTCATAGTCAATCACTGAACTATCATTGGGGCTTTCATTGCCCCTCATAGTCAATCACTGAACTATCATTGGGGCTTTCATTGCCCCTCATAGTCAATCACTAAACTATCATTGGGGCTTTCATTGCCCCTCATAGTCAATCACTAAACTATCATTGGGGCTTTCATTACCCCTCATAGTAAATCACTAAACTATCATTGGGGCTTTCATTACCCCTCATAGTCAATCACTAAACTATCATTGGGGCTTTCATTACCCCTCATAGTCAATCACTAAACTATCATTGGGGCTTTCATTGCCCCTCATAGTCAATCACTAAACTGATATTGGGGCCTCATTGCCCCTCATAGTCAATCACTAAACTATCATTGGGGCTTTCATTGCCCCTCATAGTCAATCACTGAACTATCATTGGGGCTTTCATTGCCCCTCATAGTCAATCACTAAACTATCATTGGGGCTTTCATTGCCCCTCATAGTCAATCACTAAACTATCATTGGGGCTTTCATTGCCCCTCATAGCCAATCACTAAACTATCATTGGGGCTTTCATTGCCCCTCATAGTCAATCACTAAACTATCATTGGGGCTTTCATTGCCCCTCATAGTCAATCACTAAACTATCATTGGGGCTTTCATTACCCCTCATAGTCAATCACTAAACTGATATTGGGGCCTCATTGCCCCTCATAGTCAATCACTAAACTATCATTGGGGCTTTCATTACCCCTCATAGTCAATCACTGAACTATCATTGGGGCTTTCATTACCCCTCATAGTCAATCACTAAACTGATATTGGGGCCTCATTGCCCCTCATAGTCAATCACTAAACTTATATTGGGGCCTCATTTCCCCTCAAAGTCAGTCGCTAAACTTATATTGGGGTCTTCTCTCTCCTCACAGTAAATAATTTGAATGTCTCAATTTTATTGCAGCGTGCTTTGACATGGTGCTTTGGAGGCATACGAGCATACTAGGCACTACGTATTTGGTACAGTTCCACAAACCCATGACACACCCATCCTCGACACACAGGGCAATACGTATTAAGTGTAGTTCCACAAACCCATGTCACGCCCATCCTCGACACACAGGGCAATACATATTTAGTATAGATCCACAAACCCCTGACACACCCATCCTCGACACACAGGGCAATACACATTTAGTGTAGTTCCACAAACCCATGTCACGCCCATCCTCGACACACAGGGCAATACATATTTAGTATAGATCCACAAACCCCTGACACACCCGTCATCGACACACAGGGCAATACGTATTTAGTATAGGTCCACAAACCCATGTCACGCCCATCCTCGACACACAGGGCAATATGTATTTAGTATAGATCCACAAACCCATGTCACGCCCATCCTCGACACACAGGGCAATACGTATTTAGTATAGATCCACAAACCCCTGACACACCCGTCATCGACACACAGGGCAATACGTATTTAGTATAGGTCCACAAACCCATGTCAGGCCCATCCTCGACACACAGGGCAATACGTATTTAGTATAGATCCACAAACCCATGACACACCCATCATCGACACACAGGGCAATACACATTTAGTATAGATCCACAAACCCATGTCACGCCCATCCTCGACACACGGGGCAATACGTGTTTAGTATAGATCCACAAACCCCTGACACACCCATCCTCGACACACAGGGCAATACGTATTTAGTATAGATCCACAAACCCATGTCACGCCCATCCTCGACACACAGGGCAATACGTGTTTAGTATAGATCCACAAACCCATGTCACGCCCATCCTCGACACACAGGGCAATACGTATTTAGTATAGGTCCACAAACCCCTGACACACCCATCCTCGACACACAGGGCAATACGTATTTAGTATAGGTCCACAAACCCATGCCACTCCTATCCTCGACACACAGGGCAATTCGTATTTAGTATAGATCCACAAACCCATGACACACCCGTCATCGACACACAGGGCAATACGTATTTAGTATAGGTCCACAAACCCATGTCACGCCCATCCTCGACACACAGGGCAATATGTATTTAGTATAGATCCACAAACCCATGTCACGCCCATCCTCGACACACAGGGCAATACGTATTTAGTATAGATCCACAAACCCCTGACACACCCGTCATCGACACACAGGGCAATACGTATTTAGTATAGGTCCACAAACCCATGTCAGGCCCATCCTCGACACACAGGGCAATACGTATTTAGTATAGATCCACAAACCCATGACACACCCATCATCGACACACAGGGCAATACACATTTAGTATAGATCCACAAACCCATGTCACGCCCATCCTCGACACACGGGGCAATACGTGTTTAGTATAGATCCACAAACCCCTGACACACCCATCCTCGACACACAGGGCAATACGTATTTAGTATAGATCCACAAACCCATGTCACGCCCATCCTCGACACACAGGGCAATACGTGTTTAGTATAGATCCACAAACCCATGTCACGC